AGAGAGAGAGAGAGAGAGAGAGAGAGAGAGAGAGAGAGAGAGAGAGAGAGAGAGAGAGAGAGAGAGAGACGCTTTGGGCGGACTTTGGTCGTTTTCTCAAGCGCGACTCTCCATGCAGGCAGACGCCATGGTCATTCCAGCATTACTCGAGGCTGCACTTCCGAGATAGGAGACACGAAGGAAAACTTCCTTGGCCGAAACTTACGCTGCGAAGTAGAGCCCCTGGCAGAGATCATCTGCGTGCTGCGCATTCACATCTGGAAAGTTGGTTCAGATTTCTTCGAAGACACCTCGATTAAGCGTCAGGTGCCCCTCGGATACTCTCCGTCGATCTTCATTATCTACGGACTGTATTCCTTCGTCTATTCCAACCGGACCTATTTTCCCTGGTGCACATTCAGCACATCGGGGAAATGAACTAAGCAATTTCGTCGTGGAGATTCAAATCTCGTCCGGTAATCCTGACCTCGACCCGGTCCGACGGTCGTGGAGCGTCGTCCTCAACCCATAGGACATAGTTCGCGTGCAGAACATGGACCTTGCCGTCAAAACCGTCCGAACGTCTGAGGTCGCTAACCTACACAGTGGAAAACCTCCACCAATCTTCCCTCCAGACGATTGAGCAGAGGATGGCGGTTCATGTTCACCAAACCCCCCCCCCCCCCCCCCCCCCCCCCCCCCCCCCCCCCCGCGCCCCCCCCCCCCCCCCCGCCCCACTAACACTCTGCAACCCTAACGGCCTGCGATCAACAACTGTCCTCGTCGACTAGCGGCGTCGAGGCCCCACTCACCCCGATCCTCCATCTTCGACTAGCGGCGTCGGGACCTCGTCCTAGGGCAAGGTCGAATTGGCGCCGAGGGATTCGGTAGGAGACTGGACAGTGGACAGAGATAACGAAGATCATGGACCTGCGGATCTGCCCATTCGATTTGGGGCCAAGTCCCTCTTTATCAGGAGTTAAGGCTTGGTTTCAAGTACGCACCGGCTCCTGCCATCCGATCTGAACATCTCAAGGCCGTCTTGAGGCGACGTTGAACAATACTCRGATAAGAAGCAAGATTAAACCCCTCGTCCCCCGCTAGTCGGCCAAGTCCCACTAACCCTTATCCTTCATTTCTGACCCTAGATCTCTCACTTACCGTTACGTTATATTCCCACTTACGRTTGCGTTATACTTCATTTCTGCTGCCGTAACATCTTCTCCATAAGAAGGAGGKTGAATTCTGCTGGACATGTGGCTAAGGCTTGGATCCCACTGGCCCGCAGCCTGGAAACTTCTTTCCGAGGAAGTGTCTTTCAGACCCTACAGGTGTTGGAAACCGTCGTGGAAAGTCGGCCCAGAAAGGAATTTCGGACCCCACTGCGTTTGGAAAGAGGTCGTGGAAAAGCTGACGGGGTGTTTCAACTCGGCTCGCGGCCTGGAAATTTGTGGCGACGAGTTTCCAAACAGTTTCCAAGGACGGCTCCAGATGAGTAAGGGGGGGGGCATGGAACGGCGCGAACCAAGGACCGTAGCCGTGGACCGTTTTCTGGAACAGTGCTTCCGCGCGGACACGGTTTTCATTTTCTTGCGTCGCACGGTTCCCACCGGGGCCCGGGGGGGTCTGGGCCCTCCATGCTAYCCTCGGACTGCGAACGGCAAGACGCAGTATTTCAAATTTGAATTTTTTTGGCGGGCTCGGGACGTAGGCCAGCCATGCAGTCGCTTCGTGCTCACCGACTTCAGTGGCAGAAGCATCGGCAGTGACACCCTCACGTCGTTGTCGTCGACACGTCCATTAAACCCTYCGTCGTTTCTCACGGGAGTTATGCCATCGCTCATCTCCTTCCCGCGTGCAGGTTCCCTGGCCTGCCGACGGGGAAGCCATCTCTGGTGTCGTCGRCAGGTGTTCTCCGGCCGGGGCTTCCATTTCGAAGCCGTAGGCGTTGTGCYGAGCAATGTCTGCAAAACGCACAACCCGGCCACGGCGCTCTCGCTATCTGCCCGCGCGCACACATGTCGTCCAATGCTGACCTCCCGTGTCGTCGCCATTGCACATGCCTTGCTCCGTCGTGTGCCTCCCTTGCCATCCTCCCTTCTTCGTCTGCCTCGGCAGGGCGGTCGTTTGTCCTCGCCAGAKAGCAACACCAGCTCATGTGGCCACGGGTGGGCTGCACGGGACGATGTCGTCATAAGTCCTCATCCAAACACTCGCCACGTGTSGGTTGTCGAACGTTGTGGTCGGCCGTGTGGATGTGGCAGCTGCCATCGTCACTGTTCAGTGGATGTTGTCATAAACAACTACTGCGGCGGCTGCGGTCGGCGAAAACAACCATCTTTGGCTGTTATYGCTGTCCTGCTTGTCGTTGCCATCCTCCTTTCCGCAGCGTTTGTGTTGTCCGTTGTTTTCTGGTGCGCAATCGTGTACTTGTGYTGTCGTCGGTGGAGGTAAGCAGCGCAGCGTTGTTGTTCGAGGGCGCATTGCGTGTTTGCAGGTTCCCTGGCCTCCGTGTGTAAAGCTTCCGCAGCCAGATGGAGTCGTACCGGTCGACGACAGATCCCTGTGCGGGCAATGGCGGGGGGTTCCAGACCCCGGACATGCGACAACAAGGATCTGTCCACTACTCCACGCCTTCGCCGTCGAGTGTGCAATCCTTCAGCGGGCAGATGCAGGAGGTTGTGCGTGCGGGGATGATTCAAGTGCCTCCTGCTCGTGCGGGCTCACCATCTCTMCATCACGTGGATGCTGCACGTCGGCGGTTCGTTGTTCGACCCACTGCAGAAAGTCTGCACGCGGCCGCCGTGCACACGGGCCARATGCCGTTTTGCACACAGGTTGGAGGCGGGCATGGCATGCCTTCTCTGCACATGTTCCCGGGGGCCGGCGGATATGGCATTGCRCCGCACGTGTACCCCGCCCAGCACACTGTGGAAAGGGGCGGAGTGATGAGGGATGAGTGGCAGTGGTCCCCACAGTGCCGACAACCGTCGCAGCCCATGCATGGCGGGTTGTGCGCTCCCTCGCCCATGTCGGTGCCGCGGTCTGCTGCCGAGGCCTCACCTTCATTGGCAGAAGTTCAACGAGAGGATATGGACGAGGGGTGGCCTGTCCATAGTCGTGCTCCGTCTCCTGCCGGCTTGCAAGGTCCTTCCTTTGGTGGCGAGGAGGACGACTTCGTTGGCGACGATGAAGTTGAAGGTAATGGCGGTGACTGGATGKGCGAAACTCGGACAACGCGCAGGAGGAGAGGGACAGTGCTACTGTCGGGCAGAGAGATGGGGGCGAGAATGAAGCGGGGCCCCAAACCAGCAAGTGTGCAAACAAGCGGGGGGGGAAAGATGTTGCTGCGAAAAGCAAGGAGCAAAACATCCCCTGGTCCTTGGATGAGAGGATCGCGCTGTCCAGAATYATGGCCGAAGACGACGCCCTTATGGCCGACGCTGATGGGCAGCATCGGTTTAAGCGGAGCAAGGACCGGTATGAGTGGGTGCACGATCAGATGGCGGAGCTGGGGTTTCCGCACTGCTCGGCGGAGGATTGTTGTAGGAAGTGGCAGGGCATGATGGCTGCCGCGAAGTTGATTCTCGACAAGTGTGAGAATGCTTTGGGGAAACCTTCCTACTGGGACATGAACCATGAGGAGCGGAAGGCGGAGCAGGTTCCACTAGGCTTTGAGAAAGCTCTGTGGGAAGTGATGGAGTGGAAACTGAATCGACCTTCCATCAAGTGCGACAACACGCTGGCGTCGGAGAACCTGCCAGCTAACGCGGGGGGGAATTCTTCGAGCGGCGGTCCTGCACAGCCGTCGTCGGGGAGGAGCGCTTCTGACA